GGGGTTGCATTATTATTGTTTCTGTGTGAGTTTCTTTTTATCACTTCTTCAACCCCAACAGGCCACATCAATTTAAAGCTTCTTTCCCCTCGCACTACTTTCATAAGGGAAGTAACAACCATGACAAATCCACTAATACATTAGTATCGACTTTATTCTTTGTATTATTTCCCCTCACTGAAAGCCCCTCTTTTGTTTTCTATCTGTCATGAAGCTGCGGCATCAATTTTTATTATTATTTTTTTGTTTTGGCTTTGATCAATACTGGCACTGCTGCAGGGTGTGTTCTTATTTTAGCAGCTCTATTATTGAGCTCTCCCGTAATATTAAGGCTACGTGTGTTGTTTTTGATAGGCTATGAATACATAATAGGTTTTTTCTGTGCTTTTGTGTCGTGTGTGATTTTTATTTTTATTTTTTTCTTTGTATTTTTTTTTTGGGGGGGGCAAAAAAAAAGAAATTTTCCAAAACGATAGCTCACGACATGATTGGAAAAGAATTTTTTTTTTTTTTTTTTTTTTGGGGGGGGGGGTATCCTGTTAGGTTCGGAATAATCTTTTATTAAGGTGTCTTTTGTTTGAGTCTGTTTCCTAACACATCCTCCTCTTCCTTCTCATGCTCCTCCTCCTTTTCTCCCCCCACCCGCCTTCCTCTTCTCGATACAGCTGCTTTATTATTTTCATCCATCGTATACGTCTACTTTGTTGTATCTTTCCACGTTCGAGTTTCCTGTTCTCAATTCCCCATCTACGCCCTCCTCCATGCTTTGGCATGTGTGCCTCTTTTCTTATGTCTGTGAAGAATAAGAATAATAGGAACACAGGTATGAAGCGTTTTTCGTGCGACATTAATTTTTGAAAATTCAAAAATTGGGTGGTTTTCGGTAGGCGCTACTTCTTTCATTTCTCTCTGTTGTTTCTGCCTACCTGTCTGCTTCTTTCTTGCACAAGTTGACCGTTATCATGTCGATGTGATTCTCTTTACTCAAACTTTTAAAAATATAATACCCCCCCCCCAAAAAAAAATACTACAAAAAAACCACAACAACAACAGCAAACAGACAAACCCTCAACCGCTCGTATCTATTTTTAATGTACTGAACGTTTTCTGCTACTGCTCTGTCCTGGCAGACATGTTGCACGGATACCCACGCATTGAGACCCACCCAAAGCTCCGGTCAGTGGAGAAGGACCGCAGTGTGCTACTGCAGTGCGATGCCAAGGGTGACCCCAAGCCTACAGTCATCTGGCTCAAGGATGGCCTGCCAGTGGACACCTCAGACCCGAGGATACAGGTCATGGAGTCAGGTAAGGAATGGAGGAAGGAGTGAATGAATAAACATATACATATATTAATTAATTAATTAAAATCGGTGTGGTTAGCAAAATGACGGAAATACGAGATGGTTTATATGTGTATGTGGGAGAGAGAAAGACAGACAGACAGACAGACAGACAGACAGACAGACAGACAGACAGACAGACAGA